AAAAAAGTCATCTATCTTTGGGAAACTCAAGTAGCTTTTCTATGTCAAATAAAGGATCTCAAAGTTTCCTTCTAGTTTCAAGCATCAGTGCTTTCTCAGTGATCATTTGTCCTCTGTTTGCAGGGTGGTGTGTGCCAGACTGCTGGGACTCACTCCTGCTTCCAGCACTTATTACCTGTGTGACTTTCAGAAAGTTTCTCCATGTCCATGAGTTCTCAGGCATGTCCATAAGAGCCTGGGCAAGTTTTCCATGACCCTAAGCCTTAGGTACTTTATTGGAAAAATGGCATAGTGATGAGTTATTCCATAGGGTCCGTAGGAGGGTTAAACGAGTTAGTCAATGTGCCTGGCATGTGACAGGATCTGTATGGGGATTAAGAGCTGTTATCATCATCATCATTGTTATCGTCATAGGGTGCCAGTTATAATTGGGTGATAGTAAGTGCTGCCTGAATCATAAGGCACTGTTCGGGATCTTTTTTTAAAAAAAAGGATTAGAAAGAGAATTTACGAGATGGGCATCTATAAGTGTCGACACAGTTTTCCCTTCCCACCCCAACCATGGCATCAGATTTTGCTTTCTGACTTCCACTGCAAATTATCAGAGGCCTTAGTGTTTGAGTACATCTAATAAGCCAATGTAGCCCATGCTGAAAGCCCCAGCTGAAAAGATAAGCACTAAATGGAATCCCAATAAAAGAGCTGGATAGAAGAATCTAGAATTACTAAAAATAAAAAAAGATTGCATTTGTACATAAAGCTTTGCCAGTCCCCTGGCAGTCTGATAGGAGATTTTATAATCCTCCATTCCTTCGCTTCTTTCAGTGTGTTAATTACAGCATGTGGACTGATTTATAATTAAATCTTTTTAGAGCTGTTTTCTTCTGGAAGCTGTATGGGGCTGTTTTTTTCCTCACCTTCCAGGTGGACCCTTATGTCCTCTCTTCACTGTTTCACCTAGCCTCTTAAGTAATCGATACATTAGTTCATGCCCAGTAGAGTTGTTGAAGGCCTATTACCTAATCGGCACACTATGCTACATAAACAGTTGGGCTTATGAATTTTAGGTGGGAGCATCTTTCCATTAACTAGCTTTGTACAATTGGAATGATAAATAAATGACTCAGTTACCATGAAGAAACTAAGCACACTGAATTGGCTATGAGAAAATTTGGCATTTAAAAAAATCTATATAAATTCTTCTGTATGCAAAGCTTTTATAAACTAGAATATTCTATGAAAATAAGGCACTATAGTACTATAGTAGTTAATTCTACTGCTATATCTAGTGGTCATTAAATCCACTGGGCATCCCAAAACAATGATTTTTTTTTTAATTGCTGGAGGAAGGGAAGACATTACTACATCATTGCAGGTGGGATTTTATAGAATCACAAACCAATTTGCTCATTTAGACATTCTGTCTGGCCAAATTGTCGTCTGCTAATTCTCTTCAGTCATATTATGACTGGAGCAGAACACAGCGCATGACTGTGCAAACTGCAGGGAGTTATCTTATATTCTTATTACTACTTCCCTCTTAATATTACCAGGGACCAATCCCTACTGGAATAAGCAAACCTGGAAAATGTTCCCCATGTGATTGTTAATTCCTAAATGCAAAAAATTCCTCCTATATATCCACATAGGGGAACAAAAGCTTAGCTTACATATCTTTAAAAAAAATTAAAGAGCTCAAGATATGCTGCATATTTTAGTCAAGATAACTATTTCTTACAAAAGAAAATATTTTAATTTTTGGTTCATATCAATCAAAAATATTTAAAACAAAATTTTAGTTTATTAAGTTAAGAATTGAAAATAGTTTTTAAAGCTGATAACCTAGTTGAAATAGGTTTGATGGAATAAAATGATAAACTAGCTTTCCCAATCTAATTGGCATTAAACATTTATTGATAACTGGCTGGATTTTATAGGATCAGGCCAAGAAGCAGATGGGATTTAGATTTCTAATATAGGATGTCGCTGCAAAGGTGCTGCTCTTTTCCCAGATGCTTTTCCTGGGGGGGAGTTTGGACTGTTAGAGCTGCACTTTAGAAGTGCCTGGTTACTGTTTCTGTGAATAAGATAAAATGGTGTTTATCCTCTGTCGATCAATACTGTCTTGTTTGAACTTATTGAGTCATTCAGAGACACATAATGTAATGAAAACCATTGTGCAATAGTACCCACCGTACTACCCAGCTTTCTAAAGGATGGTAACATTTTAAAAGACAGTTACTGAAACAGATTTTCAACATCAACTCACTTGCAATAAAATGAACATACACTGTGTCAGGGCGTTCCATGGGTTTGAGTGCAAATGGTATTGAGCTTTTATAATTTAGAGTTTTCTTGAAAAATACTCTCTAAAATAAAAGTATACTCTATGTGTGTTTTAATACTAAAAAACAATTATAGGTTATCTTTCTTTGAATAAATGGAATAGGGTTACTATTTGTGATTGATCAACATTTCATTATCTATGAATAGTTTTCATCTCAAACTTTATTAATATTCTTTTGACAAAGAGGAGCTAATGGGTAAATTTGGACAGTTTTAGAAGATTTTTTTGGAGTTTGTTCCAAATAGGAAAATGGGAAGGGAAGAGAGTTCTTGCTGAATTCCTAAGCACCAGGGAATGTGCTTAACTATTTTGCTTTATCATCTCATTTAATCTTCACAAATATGGGTCAGATTTTACCCCCATCGTACATTTGGGGAATCTGAGATTCAGGGAAGTCAAACAATATCTCCAAGGTCACAAATCTGGGGAGTTTTGGAATAGGCATTCCAGCCTAGCTCTGTCCAGGAGACATGCCCAGTGTTCTTTCTATAATTTACTTTAAAAGTCTCTAATACAGGCATAGTCATAGTTGATGGAAGATGACTAGACTATAATTAGGTCTCTCAGATTTTTCAGTTGTGATGATTTTAACAGTGATTATCTCAGTAGATTTTAGTTGTTATGAATGCTGGATATGGGCTATAAAAATGATTTATTCTTTCTTAATCTGTGCTTTGAGGAATACCAATTTTAAGAGATATTAATAGATGTTCCTGAAAGAAGATGTTCTGTTGTAAATTAAGCTTAGGGAACAAAACATTGCCTACTCTCTTAGATATTCACAATGAGTTAAAATATTTGCACATGTGGTAATTCCTCAGTACTTGTGAGTACGATATAATGGTGACATGCTTGGGCATCAGAGTCACACCACCTGCCTGAAGAACCTGGCTCTGCCACTTGCTGAGTAATGTGGAGCCTGTTAGGTAACTTGTCTGTGCCTCAGTTTTCTCATTTATAAAATCCTAGAAAACTGTCTACCTCATATGGTTGTTCGAAGAATAACATGAGATAAATGCATGGAAAGTGCTTGGAAGTACAGTTAACAATATAGTGTGTCATAAATGTCTGTTATTGTTACTTCGTGTGTTAAGAACTGCCTTAACTTTTGTAATACCATTTCCTTTCCTTATTTGATAATAGAGTCCCTTCTTTTCTGAGCCATATTTATTAACATCCACTGAATACAGAGGAGCAGTATACGGAATGCTGATATTTGAAATGACTGACACAAAAGCACCTTGGTATTAGCCCAGTTGAAAATAATCACTAAGTATTCAGTGTTTTCATATCTATTATGCCATTCATATCCATTGCATATCCATTATGCCATTTTATATTGTTTGCTCATAACATTTCTTTTTCTTGCCAATTATCTTCTTTCTTCCCTTATATTTGATACATAATAAGTTGGAACAGTGAAGTATAAGAATTGTCTAAAATGGGCAATGTTGTTCCAGAAAATATGTCCCTTATGAATGACCCTTATAAGTCATTGTCTCTTTCTCTGTATTTAGCAGGACAACGCCTCATTGCTTTGACAAGTAAGTGATTTCACTTTTTTTCCTGACGCTATTGCATGCTCCTCAGCACATATTACAAAGAGTGTTTCAGACCAAACCAACATATTTTTGATGCTCCTAAATTAGCTCCTAACTAGAGCTGAATTTATCAGTACATGTTTTACAAAATACTAATCCTGCACAATGCACAAATAATGCTATGTCCTTCATATTTTTGGAGATACACAATATACATTTGAAAAGTCCTGCAGTAAAGAAACTTGTTTAACTTGGAACTCATTCTCCTTGGAACTTACTTTGATAATTATAACAAAAAGTCAAACAGTTTAGGAGATTTCTAGGAGGAATGAGATATTCCTGGTAAATGCCTAGATTGATTTCTTTCTTTAGATATAATACTATCATATCCTGGTTGTGAATATCCTTTTGGGAGTTAACAAAATGATAATGTGAAAATATATCCACGGTGGCACAGTTGCCCAAACTGTGGAAGCAATCTAATAATTAGCTATCCCAAGGTTGAGATTTAACACACTAAAAACCAGTCATTTTCCCTGTTGTTGTTTTCTTTTTTGCTAGATAAAAAGATAATAGCTTAGGATATTTCTTTGGTTAACAGGATAATGGCAGAGGAAATAGCAAGAATTTTTTTTAATGGTAGTGGTGGTACAGGAGATAATTAAATATATGAAATTTAAAGTAGGATAAGAATTATGCACACAGAGAACTCAAAATCTGCCAGCGATATTAATACTATTTCTCATGCTTATTGCAATTTTGTTTCTCAGGGTCCTAGGACCAGGATAGGCAGTCAACCACAACTCTCCCTGCTGTCTGGCTAGAGCTCAGTAGACTTCTCAGAATATTAGCCCTACTCTTGAACCCACAGGGGTTACTCCATAGGAATTTATTAAATCATGGTGACCACCTCATTTTGAGATTATATGACTGTTCCAATATATTCTTTTATTTTTAGGTTATTTCATCAGTACAAAAACAAACTAGACGATTCCCTAGATCAGGCTCGGTAACAGAAGAGGGTAAAAGCTATTTCCACTGCATTTACACTAATACCACAATGCACAGTTTCACAGAGTTGAAATAGAAAAAGCAAAACACATGGATCATACCTGAGTAATTTCAGAGATCCCCACCCGGAAAAGGTTTCCTTGATTATGGCGAATTCAACGTGTCACTCGGGTTATGCTCTAATCATCATATCAAACTCCAAAGGTTCAGTGGCTTTAGGTTTGGTTTACAATTCCTGGGAGTTAAACTTTAACTCACCCTGTCTCTTGCATCCATGCAGCCCTTTGACCAGATACCTGGGTCACTACAGCCCAGACAGAATCTACAAAACTACCCTTATTTGTCTATAAAATTAAAATAAATTTCACATTAAAAATCACTGGGACACATACAATATTATTTTGAAGCTATTTTACTCAATAATAAAGGATATTTAAAAAGTAGAACTCACTGCAATTGGGTAACTAAACTTTTCTTTATGTTTCTTTGTTTTTTTGCTATGCCAAAGTGGTATCATGCCGAAGGTAATTTAGGAGAATATTTCTTTGTTTTACACTTTTTATATCACTGTATTACAGAGAGTAAAGTGTGGAGTTTTAGGTCAAGTATGTAGATAAATGATGGCTTACAAACAAAATACACAAAGCATTTATATAACAAAGTAGATAGAGTTAGGCCAGATCAGGTTGAGGGAAACATACTTCTTTTTATACGAGCTACTCATTCAGATTTTAAGAGGGAGCCATCTCTGGGAAAGCATAGGAATTGGCTACATACTGGGTTACATGACAACCTGTGCTATATGTTAACTGTCTAATATCTCAGTAGTAACTATGTTTCTTGAAGAATAGAAAAATGGTATTTTGAAGTGATAAACTCTACGTTCGAACTTCTCTAGGAAGAGCTTCCGTCTATAAAATAAATCCTGAAGGTTAATGAAGCCTACTTGAAAAAAAGAAGAAGAATCAAAACCCTCCTGATTTTGAGTAAATTTTGGTTTAAGTGTTTATAAACCACAGGCTGCAAAACTAGAATTAGAGGATACTCCTCACTTGGCTTCAGTTCTAGTAAGAGGAGTCTAATTTTCTAGGAACCAACTATGAAGAGAACAGTTGTGTCTATAGAAAAAGACAGAACAAGCAATCCTCCTATAATATAGATGCCATGGAAGGTACATCAATAAAGCACATCTGTGAATACATAAGAGAAGGCATAAAAGATATTGTTCTGCCTTGCAGGTCTCAGTTCTCAAACATGAGGAAGTCCTGATTGACCTAACGTTTTCCCAAAGCAATGCATGACAGAGTTTAACAAAAACACCCCAGTTTAACAAAAACACTCTGGAATTGTGCCCCTGGAGTTAGACTTAGAGGCAGCATTCATGTCCCAGCTAGACAGCTGTATAGGGGACACACCCCTTCACCGCCTCCTTGGGAATGGATCCCCTCACCAAGCAATCGTACAGGTTTTCCTAGTGAAAGCTCAGTCTTGGCTTACCTGGTTTCCAAATAGGTGGGGAATTCTTACTTTGAGTTTGCCTGGTTCAACAAAGAATTGCAGATATTGTGACATTGACAGTCCTGGGAGAGTTTTCTCTGTTTTGTGTGGCAGGTGTTGGATGATAATAAATGGAGATGAAGAAAGAAAAGCTAGGAATTGTATTAATAGGTATCTGATGGAAACAGCAAAGCATGACAGGTAAAAGAATGGGTCTTCAGTCAGTTCAGGCTGCTATAATAAAATGTCATACACTGGGTGGCTTCAGCAACAAACACATGTTTTTCACAGTTCTGGAGATTGGAAGTCCAAAATCAGGGTGCCAGCAGGACCCCCTTCCTGGCTATGTCCTCATATGACCTTCCTACACATAGAAAGATCCATGTCTCCTCCTTTTTTCTTTTCTTTTTTTTTTAATAAAGGCATTAATGTTATCATGAGGTCCTTATCCTCATGACCTAATCTAACCCTAATTACCTCCAAAAGACCCATTTCTAAATACAATCACATTGGAGATTAGTGTTTCAACATGTGAATTTTAGGGGACACAGACATTTAGTCTATAGCAACTAGTTATAAAAGTGTATCAATTTCTTATTTGATGGCTCCTAGCAGTCAATAGGGCAGGACTATAATCACATAAAATGAAAATATGATGATTCAAGTAGGACAACTCAGATACTACTCCTGAGAGTCAATGGCAGTATGAATTTGGTGATATTATTAGGTTATTGCTTTTTATTTTCTAAACCACTTTGTTGTAGTGATAGGGATATGTCGATCAGGAATAAAAATAATAATGGATCAGCCTCTCTTTTTCTGAGGACTACTTATGGATCCTCCCTAATATCCTGTGGCCCTGAGATAGAGAAACCAATGATCAGAATGAGATCACATTTATGACCTTGATCTCATCAGTCTGATCAAGGGAGCTAACTGCACCCAGGATGGTAAGGCTTGCTTTTATTTTGTAAAATAAACCCAGTTTAGATGGTGGCTGGTAAATGTTAATTTTTTATCAGTTTATTCAACAAACAACTACTGAGGTTGTTTTCTCTACTAAGTGTTACATTAGAAAGGTAATTATTTAAAATGAGAGTTGAGTCTGTGAGTAGGCTGTTAAATCATTAAAATGGGTCTTATCTAACATATTAAAAATAAAACAGAAAATATCAAGTGGATTGTGCCTAGAAAGGGTAAGTATTATTAATGAAACTTTTTTTTTCAATTTTGTGTATGTCTGTGTGTACTGGTTGTGATGTAAAATTTATTTTTTATTATAGACCATACTTTTAAAAGTTTGCAAAACACTCTACAGATCTTTAGGGATTCAGTGGTTAACAGACCAGATAGAGGGCACACATATTAAGCAAATACCCCAATGTTAACTAATTCTAGTTGTAATAAGTGTTATGAAGGAGAAGTACAGGATGCTGAACTGAACATAAAACACAGGGACCTAACCTAGTGTAGGGCTGGGTGGGACTGGGAGGTGGTTGAAGAAAGCCTTCCAGAACACCAGATATCTTAACTGAGACCTGAAGGACGAGTGGGAGGGAGGTGGGCATTCTAGTTGGTGGATATAGAACATTCTGATGTCCTGAGTTTGAATGAGTTGGGTATGTTCAAATAACAGAAAGCCAGTTTTAGCGAGAGGCAAGAGGGAAAACGAAGAGGAAGTGGCTGGAGTAGGTGGCAAAGTTAAGGACAACTCCTAAAGGCCATGCACAGGGTACTATGGGTTTCCAAGGCAAAGGGAAGGAAGTCATGGAAGCATTTGAAGAAGGGGAACCATGTGACGATCTCTTTGTGAATATTCTGGGTGTAGTATGGAGAATAGATTGCATGGAATAACATTGCCTGCCCCTCTTATTTTCTTTCTTTTTGGTTGTCTTAGAATCATTTTATTCATGTATGTATTCAAATAAAAGTTTGTGATTTGGATTTGAGGAAGACAAAGCATCTAACAGAGACCAGTCAGAGGAGAGATGGCATGTGATGGTGGTTACGATTAGGTGGTGGCTCTGAGAATAGAGGAAAGTAGATGAAGTTCCCTGACATGTGGAGGAGATAAACCATCGAGCAGATTTGAGGACTGAGGGAGCGTGACATCTGAAGAGTGACTCCCAAATTGCTGGATGCAGCAATTGGATGGATGGTGGTGCTATTTGCTGAGATGGGAAAACTCAAAAATGAAGAGACTTACAAAGTGGGCTATACCAGGTCCACAGTAAGCATCCATGAAATGGTAGTGATCATCAGTCCTTCACATGTGAATTATTTTACTTGTGGATTATGACTAGTCTTGCTTTTACTATTAAAATATATTTAGGTAAAAACCATTGATGTTTGCTAACTAAAATATAATTCAAGGCCAAAGATTACCAAATGTAAGAAGCTTCCTCCCTGCCACCATTCTCCTCCTATCTCAATAAAATATCTCTTCAATGGTTTCAATTTCCTAGGGATTCAACTTTTATTAATAGTTTTTGAATGTTTGGTGGGTGGGCAGGGGTGTTGAATTAACTCGAAGGGAGTATTCTAAAGAATGGAAGGGCTGGGTCAGACATACTGTGTCAGGCAAAAGTCTAATTCTCTTTTCCTGCCTATTGTGTATAAAGGACTTTGATCCCGGAGTCAGGACCTTGGGATTCCAGCCCCAACACTGTTGCTTATGAAATAATTAACCTTGAGCAAGTTTCTGCCCCTTGTCTGAGTCTCAGTGTTCTCCCCTTTCATGAGGAAAATATCTGCTTTCCTCATCTACCTCACTGATTACTGGGTGGGTCAAATGAATTGGTATATGTATAAATGACTTGAAAATAATAGAGTACTGTGTGAGGACAGAGTGTATAATTACAGAGCAGGTTAAAGCTACATCCTTTGAGGCTATGTCAGTGCAATTTCTTGTTTCCATCTGAAATAAGGACTTCTAGGATTTATGCCTGCTCTTTTGGATATTTATAACATTTCAAACCTAAATGCTCAATGCTATTCTTAATGCTTGCAAGATTTTGGAAGATAGCAGAATTTGATTCAGTGGGTTAGAATCCATCTGTTCTCATAATGTCATTTCCCAGGGTTTTAGATTTTTGAAAATGTATTGGTTTTGTAACTAGAGCCATCTAGTGTTGAGTTGATTAAAACACACACACATACACACACAAACACATACACACACACACACACACACACACACACACACACGCCTCTACACCCCTTTGTTTTGGGGTTTAGGAAATTTCATTTGGTTCTGGCACATTTGGCACATTTCTGGCATTTTAATATAACATAATTGTAGCATTAAATGAGAACTTGAGAATTTGCATAAAGTCCAGGCTACATCTAAAAACCATGGCAGCAAATGGGATGCCACTTTGGCTCTGTCCTTTAAACCTAAGTTAAATATCTCCCAACTCTCAATTATTATTCCTTTCTATAGTCATTCCTGTGTTTCAAGAATGTTCTTGAAATTAGTTTTTAAAGGTGGTTGTGTTTTTTTTTTTTAAAAAAAGGAATATTTAGCTCAGTGAACTCAAAAGCAAAAATTGATTTTTGTTAAGAAGCAATTTTAGAGAAACAAATCCAGTTAGCAAATCTGGCATTTTCCTTTATCAATATTAGAAAATACTCATAATTGGGTCTTTAGTCTGTGCTCTGCTATATTCTCCTTATTGTAAAGAAAAAATTCCATAG